TCACTGTTCTCTAGGTCTGTCTTTTCACCAACATTCTCTCACTGTTCTCTAGTGAGTCACAGGAAGTCGGAAGTGATGTCATGCTGGACAAGAATCAGAGTCCGAATAATCACTACATCATCTAGATTCTAGATCTACCATTTCCGCTTCGCTTTCCAGCGTGGTGGTCCTAGTTTATCTAATCTTTGCCTGACAAGGAAGGCTTTCTAGAGCAGGCATTCAAATATCATACGACGAATTTGACAAAGCTTTTGCTAATTTAAAGATGAAAATTTTGTTGCCTTTAGAAAGAAGAAATCATGTGAAATAGAGAAGGCGAACTTAAAGTGTGTGGCAAAAATCCACCAAGACTTTCTGTAGGCCTACAGTAGAGTTGACTCTCGCTACACATTATAGACAGCCCAAATGTTGAGGCAGCAAATATTACAAAAACCATCAGCAGCATACAACAGCAACAAAATCCACTAGATCTAGGGGCAACAACAAGAACAAGAAAAGAGCTGCGACTGTCTTTGTTTGTTAGTTTGCTGTGTGTGTCTGTTCGCGCTCGCCCGTAAAGGCCACAAGCATGTGCGTTTGTGTGTGTGAGAGAGAGAGAGAGGGTGTGAGAGGGAGAGGGAGAGAGGGTGTGTGTGTGTGAGAGAGAGAGAGAGGGTGTGTGTGTGAGAGGGAGAGAGGGTGTGTGTGTGAGAGAGAGAGAGAGAGAGGGTGTGTGTGAGAGAGGGAGAGAGGGTGTGTGTGTGTGAGAGAGAGAGAGAGGGTGTGTGTGTGAGAGGGAGAGAGGGTGTGTGTGTGTGAGAGAGAGAGGGTGTGTGTGTGTGTGTGAGAGGGAGAGAGGGTGTGTGTGTGAGAGGGAGAGAGGGTGTGTGTGTGTGTGAGAGAGAGAGGGTGTGTGTGTGTTTGTTTTTCTTTTTTCATTTCAATTTCTTTTTTTGTTGTCACAGCGTCACTCTGTCGCAATAAACGCTGTGTTAGTTGGACTGTCGCAGTTAACGCTACAAAAATCCACAAATATTTCAAGTAAGAATAGGAACTTATAAAATTATGTCCCTTTAATCTAATGTGACTGAAACGTTCGAGCTCAAACCGGCGTCCCATTTGTTCAAACCCGCGGCCACACTCCTTAGCGAAGGAAAATACTACTTTCCTTTGTTTAATCCCATTTATTTAAGTGATCACCGGTTCGTTTTCCACTGTCAGCACCAGGTGGATCTATCATAGAAGGCAACCCTCATTTGTCAGGGCAATGTCAATTCTTGGGT